CGTTTTAAAGAAAACAGGAAATATTTTTAAATTTGTCAAGACAGTACACATTACGTGAAGCATAAGACTTTTTCAAAATTTTTTTGTCTCCATAAGAAAGCAGTCTATTTTCTTCCAAGCTTGGTGCCATAGAAATAGCATCACTATTGGTCATGAAAGACTCAATGACACATTATAACAACAGGGTGCTGTAAAAAGAATGCTGCTATGTCTACGGTGCTACAGAGAGAAATTTTGCTATAGAAGTAATGTGAACTCATTTACAATAACGAGAAAAAGGTGTTTTATGAGAGAGAGGATATATCTAGACCATAACTACTTAGTAATTAGTGTTAATGAAACTGCTGCATGAGGTTGAGTAGGCCCCCACTCAGCATCCCCAAATAAATAGAACTGCCCTATGAGATTTCCTTGGCTTTACTCTTTATAGGTATAGATTGCCAGGTCTTTCTTTATGGGAGCAACAGGTGATTTCTATTAACTTTTGGGTTAGCAGCTTAGAGCTTTAACCATTGCACCATCAGCGAGCCTTTCCATTATAGTAACTGTGCTTTAAACTTGAGTGTAGTGTTGCAAAAGTAAGTAGTTGTAATCCTCAAGCTGTTCTGAGGTAGCCGATGAGACAGACAGCTCACCTGCTCACCATAACAGTCTGAAAAGTCTATGGAGGGTTGCCCTGTGTCAGAATAAATCTACTTGAAAGCAGTGGGCTTGGTTTGGATTTTTGTTGGTTGTAAATTCATGTCTCAGGTGATACTGACTTGTTTCATGATTCCAGTATAGGGAGCATGTGAATAGGGGACCAAATTATTTTAGAAATTTGTAGTTTGGCACTGAAAAAAATGAATAAACATAATTGAAAAGAAATAGATTATATGAATGAGGTGGGGGTTAAATTTGTAAATAATCCTTACAGACCTGATTTGTGCCAGTCTGGTAGGCTTTTTATTTTTAATAATTTTAATGAACATTTACAGAGAATTTGGATTTCCATTCATTCATTGCTGCACTTCTCTACCCGCCCAGCCCTCTCCTCCCGCCCCCCAGTTCGCTCCTCTCTTTCAAAAGTAAAAGAAAGACTCCCTCCCTGGTACACAATCCCTCCCCCCGCACCCCTCCCACTGCCCCAAGTACATTGCACTATGCAACCTTAATTGTGGACTCTTGTGATAATCTGGTAGGCTTTTAGAAGCTAGATGGAGTGCCGGGATGCAGCAAGCATATTACTATGCTCTAAGTAGCACAAAATAGCAAAGACATTTTAGGATTTGGGGTTGCTTTTGATGTTAAGTATGTCAAGTCCAGTGCGACTCAAAGTGATCCTAAGAACAGCAGATCTGAACCCTGTCCTATCCTGCTTTAGTCCATTGCAGCAGTCATTTTGTTAGTCCATTTTGTTCAGGATCTCACTCTCCTTGCTGACCCTCCACTTTTCCAAGCATGATTCCTTTCCAAGGTATAGACCCTCCTAACAACAGGCCCAAGTATGTTGCAAGAAGCTTCACCATCTTTGTCTCCAAGGAGCACTCTGACTGCACTTTCTCTAAAACAAATCCATTAAGGGATTAAGGGAAGATTCATCAAAGATTCAGAATTGATGATAGTCCCTAGTGTCTTTCCTTTCAAACGCAGGAATTGGTAGAATAATCAATTCCTGAGTATGCTATATGAAACAATCCTAGCACTTGAAGATTTGCTTGAGATGGCGAAATTAGCTACTGCTGCATAAAGTATAAGCGCATTAAATAAATCAACAAAAATAGCCATAAAGAGGAAACTCGAGATAAATAAAAAATGATGAAACTAAATAACTTAATGAAGTGGTTCTACTTAGTTTCTAAATCTTCAGCAATTTAAAAAGGACAGTTAAGAATGAACAAAGGCGATGTGTGTGTGTGTGTGTGTGTGTGTGTGTGTGTGTGTATACAGAAGGTCCTACCCGAGAAAAATCCCAAACACGTAGCTCAAATATTTTTAAATGGGAGTCTACCCACATCCCCCTAGGCAATTAAATGCAGTAACGGTCCAAAGCTCACACATTTTCATTTAATAAGGACCTTTGGCTGTAGTAAAGGATTAAATAAGCTGTTTTAAAAATTCCAGAATAAACAAAATTTCTTGCCCGCAAATTTGCTCCACAGTTTTCTCAAATCCTCATGAGGCACAAGAGAAGGTACATAAGATTGCAAAACGCACATTTACATTTTCATTAGGTAGACGGCGCCAGCCCACCGAATAAAATGAATGACATTTTCTTTTGTAGAATATTGGAATTTTGTAGAATATTAGAATATTGGGGCTCACAAAACACCAAACCATTTTGACTTCATTTTTATGGGATTTTTTACTCGTTAGCTTATATCATTATTTAAGGCGCAGTTCCAGTGAGATGGGAAAGGAGCTCGTTCTTAAACAGAGCCCAGCTAAGACAGCTCCCTCAGATATGCAGAGTGCTGGCAGGTCATCCAGGTAACCCCAAGCAGAAAATATTGCAGACAAAGCCTCAGGTACTTGAGGGATGCTATCAGGACGGGGCAGTTCCTAGAACAGGAATTGATGCTTAGAAAAGGAGAGTGTCACTCAGCGTAGAAAGAAGAGATGAATTGACATGGTAACTGCAACAACGGACTTAAAGCATAGCACAGGTTGTATGGTGCAGAATCTCGCTCTGGTGTACAGACTCGAGTCAGAGTCGAAGCTCTAGAACAATAGGTAAAGTGATCAGACACAACTACAGAGTGATTGATACCTAGACCTAATTCGCCAATGACCAGTCACCAAAGTCTGCGCAGGCGCAAACCGCCTAAGTAGCCTGTGCGGACTCGCACCGGAAGTGCCCTTCCGCGCCCCGGATGCAACTGGGCGGCAGCGGTTGCCAGGGAGACGGGAGCTTTGAAGCGCCACTTAGGCAATATCCGTAGGCAATTTAAAACGTTACTTGTCGCATATCTTGAAAGCTGGATTGGTTCGATCGGAGTTCCTAGGATGTTCTTTTACCTGAGCAAGAAAGTAAGTTTTGCAGGGAGCGTCCTCGCTGCCTGCATCTTGCGCATGATTCCCGCATCCTTCCCGAGAAGCTATGAGTCTTAATCTGGCTTCCCCTTCTAACTTGCAGCTTTCATGCCTGATCTACCATCGGACCTTGTCCCGCTGGTACCCGCCCCAGAGCCAGCTACTGTGTTTACACAACTCCTTTCCTGTCCCTCTGTAGGTCCTTCTGGAGGGTCCAGCAGGACAGAGCCCCAAATTCTTTTCGATCTCATTCACCGCCTGTTGCTGTTTCAAATAGCTTAAATTCTTTTGAATCATCATTGGCCACTGGCAAGAGAAACAATGTAGTAAGGTCGGTCCTAAGGGTTATATGTAGTGTTACATGACTAATTTGTGGATTTATACCTTCGTCCTCACTCCTTCTTCCCCTTCTGTCCACTAGGTGACTCCTGGTTGGATTCTCCGCAGTCACCACCTCTTGTGTGTTTGTTTTCCCTTTCTCAAATGGTAGGACTGTGGCAGTTCAGAGAACAATGTTCATTTTAAAAACAACTCATACTTACACACCCTCGTTTATTTTTCTTCTTGGGGCATTTTCTTCTGTTTCCATTGCTTACAGGCTCATTTCCCAACGTCTTTGTGAAAAGTTGCTAGAGTCGCTGTGGTTACTTTTTCAGATTGCCATTCCCAATAACGTGAAGCTGAAATGTATAGCTTGGAACAAGGACCAGGGATTCATTGCATGTGGTGGTGAAGATGGATTACTAAAAGTTTTGAAATTAGAGTCACTGACAGGTAAATGAGTGTATGGATACATGTTTTGATTTTGTGCTTTTTTTGTTTTTTACACTTTTGTGTGGTTGAATGGAATCTGACTGGCACAGGAGGAGATTGCCCCTCCTCTAACGGGGCATCTGGTGGATTCGAACTGCACGGCTTCGGGATCACATGTTTGAGATGGATGAAAAATTGGTAAATATTTGAGATGGACACATGTTTGAGATAGAAAATTGGTAAATGAATGTCTGGACACATGTTTGAGTTGGATGGAAAATTAACGTGTCATTTTCTTCAAATGAGATTTGCTTGTGGTGTTTATCATTAGCAATTCTACTTCTTTAAAAAAGGAAAACAAACCTACAATTAGGAGAAGATAAACTAGATGAATCAAATCCCTATGCGCATCCAAAAACTTCTCCAACAGGGTAAAAAGGGAAGCCACAGACCTGGGAAAAAGTATTTGGTAATGACATATCAGATAAGGGACTTCTATCTAGAATTTATAAAATACTTGAGCACCACAACAAGATAAAGCTAAATAATCCAGTAGTAAAATTGGCACAGGATATGAACAGACACTTCACTGAAGAAGACATTCAGATGGCTAACAAGAACATGAAGAAATGTTCAAAATCCCTAGCTCTAAGAGAGATGCAAATTAAAACAATTATGAGATATCATCTCACCCCAGACAAAATAGCAAAATTTAACAGAACAGTAAGCAACAAATGCTGGCGAGGTTGTGGAGAAATTGGAACCCTTATTTACTCTTGGTGGGAGTGTAAAATGGTGCAACCACTGTGGAAGGCGGTATGGCGCTTTCTCAAATAGTTGCAAATAGAGATACCATTTGACCCAACAATTCCACTACTGGGAATATACCCCAAAGAGACCATAACTGACATCCAAGCAGATATATGCACACCCATGTTTATTGCGGCTTTGTTCACAATAGCAGGGAGTTGGAAACAACCTAAGTGCCCATCAACAAACGAATGGATAGAGAAGCTGTGGTATAGTACCACAGTGGAATACTATGCTGCATTGAAAAACAAGGAACTCATGCACTATTATTCAAAATGGATGACCCTGGGGGACATTATGCCGAGTGAAGTATCGTAGACACAAAAGGACAAATACTGCATGGTGCCACTGTTGTAAAACAGGACTGACATCGGGGATGGGGGGAGACTGAGAAAGATGGGCTCAATAATGTAGACTGCATTGAATCAGATGAGGAAGAAAACTGTTTAAAAGGGATATGTGATTAGGTATTTTTGTCGTGACAGGAGTCTAGAGCAAGAGCTACATGGTGGAGTGGACCTGGGGGAGGGTTTATAAAACAATGAAAGAATTTTTTTTACTACTCCAAGAGGGTAGTGTACTAGGGGGGAGGGTTGGGAGGGAAGAAGAGTGCAACAATGAATGAATGGAAATCCATAGTCTCTGTAAATTCTTACTGAAATTAATAATAAATTTAAATTAAAAAAAGAAGCAATAGCCAAAATTTTTACATTTTTTCTAGAGTATTTTTGCAACATAGTTCAGGGAATATTGAAAGTGAATGTTAGATGGCTTCTTTGTTGGATGACTAAATCAATGAATGAGTGAATATAATACTTAAGATATAAAAAAAGCTTATTTTCAAAGTTTTTGCAACTTGACCTTTTATTTTTTATAGTTCCAAACTATATGTCAAATATTTCTAGTTGTGATCAGTTAAAACGGAGTAAGATGCAATACTAATTATTTATATATTTAGTATACTAAGTAAAGAATGTTGGTTTAAGCATTTTATTTTTAAGCATTTTTACATTTAATACTTCTGAAGGGGTAATATTGTACCTATTTAAATCATGAGACAAATACATCAAAATGAAGCTTGCTTCTATAAAGATTATCATGCTATCTCCCAGGAATAGCTTTTTAAAAATAAAACAAAAACCCCAAGAATTGTAAAAACCTCATAATATTTTACTTTTATGTACTTATTATAGTGTTGTGTGTTTTTTTTTTTTAGAGGATGCAAAATTGAGAGGTCTTGCAGCCCCGAGTAATCTTTCTATGAATCAGAACCTTGATGGACACAGTGGTAAGTCATGCTATATAGAATTTTAAAATTAATGTCTTTTTTTAAAAAAAATGATACTAAAAAATGCTTATATATACACACTTTGACACTCAGTACACACACCTGAACACCCAGTATCCTGGGTTGGATTTTGAAATGAGAACAAAAAAAAAATAGCTGTAAAGGACATAACTGGGAAACTTGTCCTTATGGGATTGAGTTAGTTCACTTAGCATAATCCTCTCCAGTCCCTCCCAAGTTAGGTTAAATCATACTCGTGATTTTTTTTTATCAATTACATGGAAACTCTAACAGAAGGTGCATTAACTGTTTTGAGATAGGACCAAACATGAAAAAAACTATACATACTGTATTATAGAAATTGATAATATTAGTTAATATATCCTATGACGGGAGTAATGGTGACTTAGTGAAAAGGAGTTGTGCTGCCAACCCAAAGGCACAGTTCAAATCCACCAGGTGCTCTGTGGGAGAGCAATAGGCATTCTCCTTCTATGGCCATTTTAAGGGTTATAGTGGCAAGGAGCTGTGCTGCGATCCCAAATGTATGAGGTTTGAGGCCACAACCTTGTCAATCTTCTCCTGTGTGATTAACTGCCTCTGAACTCCCACCAGAGGGTTAGCTGTGGGTCGGTTCTGACTCTACAGTACACAACAACAACAACAACAACATTATTAGGTATCATTGAATTAATTCCAAACCATGTGACATGGTAGAGCCTCACCATAGGGTTTTCCAGACTGTAATCTTTACAGGAGCAGATTGCCACGTCGGCCTACACAGCTGTTACGTAGGTGAAAACTGCCAATTCTGCCATTAGAAGTTGAACTCTTAACCACTGTTTCATCATGGAAGATTGATAAATTGTGCTGCCACCAC